CGAACGGAAGAGGAAAAGGAGCAGGAAGAGGATTTTCTCTCGTGTAATACTTGTAGTAATAATTAATTATGCCTGCAACGAGTAATGCTAGGCACAATCCGAATAAATCATGGAGCTCGAAAGAAAACCTTAAAATTTTCATATTCGCGAAGAGACTCTGTGAAAGCTCGTATGACATGCACTAATATGCTGTACTGTATATACATGTACATCTGTGTATATCTTTACTAATGGATTTTAGAGTATGTAGATTAATTAATCCATATGAAATAAATTACTGTATATGAATTAACACTCGTGTTTACTCTAATAATGCCTTAGACGACTGTACATGTTATGATTTGATGATGATCCGGCACCATGGTAACTCCACGACTCCATGGTAATTCCATGATTGTTTTTTCTTCATTACAGTAAATTGATTAAAGAATGAAAAAATGGAAATATTTGAAAAAATTTGGAAAAATAAGGCAGATAAACATAAAGATAATTGAATGGCGACATATCGGCAAGTTTTGAACCTTGAAATAGGTCGATTCTAAAGTGAAGAAGATTCGCCATAAGTTCCTCGCAGTTTATCATTAAATATTTATAGATCTATCTAAACTCATTGTAGGTTAAGTCATAATTTATTTGACGTGTAAAGATAGAAGGGATATGGAAAAGGTTTATTTGATTTAAAAAAAATACTACAACTGCAGGATCAGCTGCAAACCCAGCGTGACCAATCGTGTAATAAACAAATTTAGAACTCTAAGATGAATTTAAATACCTCTACGTAAACCAGTTTTATAGCTTATTTCTCATATTTCGAAAAAAATATTTTATATAACGTTTATATTAATTAATTGATTAAGTAAAATAAAAAATTTTTCTTCAAAAATAAATAAATAAATAAATTAATTAAATTAAATTAAATTTCCACATACAGTACCATGTATAAACAGTATATATATATTTTTTAAATATTAAATTATTGGTAATAACTAACAACGAGGCATGGAATTTACATTTTTGCAAAATCAAAATTATAACGAATGATTCATAATTCATAATTCATATAATTGGCAATTTAAAATAGATATACTGACTGTATCTGTTAAGAAAAAAAATGGCTCTATTTGTTTTATTTTAAAAAAAATTAATTCAACGTATACAGTATATTCGTTTGTTTATAAAGTTGAAATATTTTATGATACTCTATTATATCGCATAATTCAATTAATATATATATACATATATGGATCTCATTGTTTTTCTTGTGATAACGTATAATGTTTGTTTTGTAATATGTTTTGACCTTCTTGTTTTTGTCCATCATATTATATCAGAAATTCAAATGTAACTGACATTTCGTAGAAAAAATTTTTAATAAATCGTATAAAAAAATTTTTTATAATTAAGATTTAATAATAATGCTTAAATATATATACTGTATATATATATATTTATTTATTTACAAATTTTTGAAATTTTCAAATACCGATTTGTTATCGATAAACTTTTTACTGTATTCGATAATCTTAAACAACAATTTCAATCGATGATTTTTGATTGATTATTTTTAACTAGTAATTTTTTGATTAGATATGCAAACAACTTACTTGATAACTTTAACACAAATGAATTTTATACCTGTGTTAGTTTATTGAATAATTTTCCCAGTAAGTTTTCAATGTCATGTGATATAAAATCCAATTCCGCCTCAAATATTCAAAATGGTTTTGATAAATTAGATGTAAAAAACAAAACAGGTTATATCAATTTAAGAATAGAGTAAAACACAAATCTGTTATATTAACTCGATAAAACAAATAATTTAATTTAATTTAACAAAAAATTAAAAACAAATAAAACAAAGTGGGTCTATTTAAATGAAATGTTTTTTATTACGGTAGTATAGTATTATAATACAAACCGCAATTTCACATTGTTAATCATGTAAGTATTAGATTCAATGTCCGGCCGAGAATAGAGGCGCGTAACTCAAAGTTATTACACTTTTGTTGATAGGAACGGTGGTACGTTACGACATGTGCGTTAGAAACTTCCTTCTCCATTTCTCGTGACAAATACGATATACAGTATTTATTTCCATATTTATTAATAGAAATAATAATAGCATATTATACACTGTACTGTAGATACTGCACATGGTTTTAATTTAAAATTTTTTGTTTACCAAAAATGGTAATTAACATCAACACCTTAGCGATTGACCTATTAAGCTCACACCTTTATGCGCGTGGCAATATTCATGGCAAAGTCCACGTTGAGTTATTTGCAGGAGAACGATTGAGGTACTCATCCCTTTGTACATTTGTGGATTCGTATCCATTTAATTTAATATAGAAGTTATTTTCGATTTCAATTTATATCCAAAAAGAAAAATGAATTCATTCAAGACAGTTATTTTCATGAACGTTTTTAAAGCCTTTATGAGACTCTTTGATGCAGCCATTACCAATTTTAGGAGGTTGGTTACAATCATTGTACGCGATGATTAAAGATCCGGGATTTATTCTACGAAAGTATTAGCTCGTACGCAAAATACAGTGCAAAGCAATTCAGAGAATAATAAAAGTCAGTAATCTGATGAATCGAATTCTAAAAGATCGTTTAGTGAAACACTTCTTCGTCTTTTTTGTAAACTAGCACAGGATTCCAACTCCTCAAAATAGCCGTGACCAAAAGTTTCTTGACATTTAACTTTTTAATCAATACATTCAACGTAATCCCAGAATCTTTTTGAAAGTAGTCAGTCTGGTGAATTGGATTGATGAAATACGCATGGTAATTCGATCAACGATAGAGTTTTTCAATTAAGATAAAAATAATTTTTAATGTTACATGCAATCCCTCACTTCAATCGTTATGAATAACATACTGAGCAGAGATTTATTACCAAAAATAAGTGACAGGGTGGTTGTTCTCCGTACATACAGTATTTGTACAGCGTATGTGCATAAATGTAAAAAAACGCAATTAATTGGTTACACGTGACTATATTACTGGTTATCGTGAAAATAAGCTGGAAATGTATACAGTATTACACAGTTACAGTATTACAGTACGAAACTCCACTCGAAAACAATGCAACTGTGGCTGCACGTATGCTGCAAGCATATGTATGGAGAACAACCATCCTGTCATTTATTTTTGGTAATAAATCTTTGCTACCATACTGTGAATTCTTAAATCCGTAATTAAATTACAGTACTCAACACAATGGTAAAGACAGGATTAATGAAATGAAATTCGGTAAGATTGATTCATTCATATACAAATGCGGGCAATTTAGCGTACACAAAGTTGTGACTCTTCTTATATAAGATAGTAAGCACATGGACAGTTATCTTCTAAACGTTTGTGCATTTACCATTGAGGGTTTTTGGAAGAATTTGAAGTCAATTTGAGAAACAAGACTTAGATGTTATGATGATTAGATTAAAAAGGCAATACCATATATGGGGTTAACTGAAGGGCGTACGATCATTTGAACAAAATATTTGTTCGAATTCACATACTGTACTTCTGAGTCCGAAATTAGGTAAATATTTATTTACGTGCTAAAGCGAAGACTCATTTAAAATAGGATTAAATCTCAGAATTTAATCTTTTCGCTCGAATACCATATTTAACGATTATTTGTCTCACCAGAAACATTGATCATTGAACTTGTATGAGATTTCGCGCTAATACAGAAGATGTTAATTTACGTGTTCGTTGTGGAATCATGACTTGATTTTACACAGTGGTAATTATGCGGATAAATATAATTATTAATGAACATCACGAGGTGTATTTTGGCGTTGAGTTTGTTCACTAGCCAAAAATCGACTAATTAACTGGGCATGTACGCGTCTTCGAAAAGATTACTACTTACCTGTTTAAGTCGCTATTCTCAACAAAGAGTTGAGCTTCCGGATAGAAAGTTTAAATTACACCGGAGGAATGCTCATTCCAACAAGACACGTAATTGAGGAAATTTATTTATAAAGACAATTCCCACCACGACTTCGTAAGTAGGCAAAAATAATAAAGGTAAAAAAAAAATCAAATTTTTGCCATTGTTAATCATATTTACAAAAAAAAACCCATTCCCTCGCGAACGATCAAAAAACTTAATTGCTTTCGTTTTAGCGAAATACTTTTTTTTAAATATGTCATATTTCACGTTCGAATTCAACGATAAATCTCTGTCCAATTATCCACAACACAAATCTTACTTGCACCCAGGTTCTAATAATGATGCGAAACTCGTAATTGATAAAATAATCTCATCCTGTTTTGACGAAGAAACAATTGACAAGATCAAAAGGTTCTCAGCAATTCCTTTGTCAGAATTAATTACTCCCTTCGAGAATGCCAGAACCCAAAAAATCCCCCGCCCACAAAATAAGTTTGTCATTTACCGAAGAAATCTGCAGATGCAAATGGCTACTGAATTGGGTATGGTGCCTGTCAGAAAATTGGAGTCTGTCTCAAAGATTGCAGGAAGACGTTGGCGAGAAGAGGCCAGTGAAATCAAGGAATTATTCGGCCTTATTTCCGAATGTGCCAAGAAGGTGCATAATTTTTTATATCCTGATTATGTTTATCGTCCAAGAAGGAGCGCCACAACAAATATTCCGATGAATTCCTCATTCCACAGAGTCTCAGTGACTTGCTGGAAGAGTACCTCTTCAAAGCGTACTGCTTCCGTTAATTCTCTCAAACCTCTATCAATTTCTCCTAACAACAACTAAATTCATATTCACCGGCATCTCTTTGTACAATATTCAATATTGACAAATTCATTCATAAGTCTTAATGTTAGTATTGTTATTTTTTTATGGTCACATTAAGTTTTTTTTTTTTTTCTTTTTTCCTGGTAAAACCCTATGTCATGTAACTAGTATGTATCACACTTTTTCTTAATAAATAAATGGAAACCTATTTTTAGCGAAATTAATTCCCAATTTTCTTTTTAAGTATTACTATAAACGCCATCAAAGTGCACATAACGCATTCAATCGAAACTTCTTAAAGGTCGATTGATATCGATTTTATCAGGGTAATTGAGACAGTTATTTGTTAATTTTGATCAATAAATTATTCTATAAGAGATATAGTGATAATAACTTTATGCGTGTATAATAGAAAAATTTCCCCTCTCCCTAGCATTTACGTTACGCGACTATCATCCTCCCTTTGAAATTTGAATCCAATATGAATAAATGAATAAAGCTAGTCTTTACTATGCACATTGTATTCCATATAGGTTCATGTCCTAAAATCAGGCTAAAACCTGACCTCCGTTATATATTTTGAGCAAAATATTTCTTGCACCATTCACGTTCCACCTCGCACGAATCACATTTAACCGTTTTTGATTTACCAAGATTATCTTTACGAATCCACAATTCCTACATGTCTTTGATGTATACTCTTCTGTGCTTTCAATGACCTTGCAATCACTGACTCTCTTGACTTATGATGTAAGAACATTCAAAACCTGAAACGCGACCAAGTTATCATTGTACGAGCAGTCTTTGACCGAACCATTTTCTTGCTTGCTCTTCAAACTACCAAAGAATGATATCATAATTCTGACATAACCAACAGACTATCTGATGATGGCACTCATCAGATTCGTTGTATGATTAATAGCATCTTTTTCAATAGGAATCTCTTCTTTTTTGTTCTTCCCATAGCAAATCTTTGTCGCTCTGTAATTCGTCATATTTCTTAGATAATTTCAATTTTTACTGAAATCACAATTACCTAATCAAATATAAATGTGTGAAAACCTGGATCGAGCGAGATTACCTTTCCCCGTACATCATCTTGATATCCAAAGAGGCTGAAACACACAAGTAAAAATGTCCCAAATGATTTATAAATATGTTAACTGTATTGTTGGTATCTGGTGATTGTTCTGAGATGATAATATTTTCAGGAACGTGTATTTCCCTCTGTTCCTATTCCTATCCCTAGCAAGAATCGAGATGGTTTGTGTTCGACCCTTCTTTTGATCGGTACTTCATTCGAAAATTACTTCCATGTAACTCCTTGCTTGTTTTGTATGCGCCATCAATTGCTGAATCGCATACGAATGTACACCCAGAGGAGTTTTCAGTTGTGAACACTTATCGTTCAGGTAATGCTTTCGTATGACACTCATGTATGACGCCCATGTCGGTAATTCCATCATCCTGCATCATCTTATGAACTTTGATGTACGTCCATTTCATGGTTCCCATCCACTTTTTCGGCTTTCCCTTTCTTCTGGTGTTGATAACTCCGTATCTTTCGCATTTTAATCTTTCTTTGTCGTTTTCGTTTTCCAGCTTATCTGTGCCCATTGTGTCTTGCTGTGAAAATGCTAACGATTGATAATAGATTCACTGAATTTGGCGTCATCAACATTTGACATCCAGACTGAGAACCACGATCTTTGTTCTTGCCAAAAATCCATTCGACAAGATTTGTAAAGCCGATCATTCCTGGTAATCACAACCTTCTCGATATCTCCTCGATACGATCGTTCCAAAATGGATGTAAAGCACTTGCGTTTTCAGTTGAGACCTGCCCCAATCTTTTGATGAGTAGGTGGTCTGGATATTCCCTGTCTGAGGTACTTGCATTGCCTGTCAAGATATTATATCTGTTTTTCTGAACTAAACCTTGCGTGATGACTCCTTCTTTTCATTTATAAAAAAACAAAAACAAAACGTTATTATTCCATTATTCTTTGCTGTTATTATTATTATTCAT